TCGGATGTCATCAAGACCAGTGTCAGGTTGCACAGGACGCCATGTATTTCGGACCTAAAGGGCACGTCAACGACTCGGCAAGAAGATTGTCTCATGCTCTGCACCTACAAAGCCAGGACAGTCTCCGGCAACGCCGATCTTCACGTCCTTCTTGAAGCTGCAGGGAGCGTCAACTACCACGTAATCGCCTTGCAAGAAACAAAGTCTAGGAAGAAGGACGTGGGGCAGCTGAGTGATGGCACACTCATCATTCGTGGTGAGATTCCATCACAGAACGTTAGAGGCGTTAGATTTGTCGTACACCCATCTGTTGTCCTTGTCGACTCGCATAAGTCTTATCACCTTGCCTGGCTATCCTCCGACTCCGCCCTCTGCATCAGAAAACCAACACTATCATCAACTGCTATTCTCCAACATCAGCAGCTGACGATTCGAAACTTGATGCTTTTTATGAGGATCTGGAGGAAGTCATCCGTAAAGAAACTCCTTCTATAAGTTCGTCGTGGGTACTGCAACGCGAAAATCGGAATGCCAGAAGAAGGGGAGCACGGAATCGGGAAACTTGGACCAGGACTCCGGAATGAGAATGGTAACCGTCTTGTTAGGCTCTTTTCTGCCGCACGACTTTTTCATGGCGACTCCATTTTCATGAAGGAAAAACACCAGCGATGGACATGGGAGTCATCCAATGGTACGACTCATGCATCGACTACAATTTCAGCAACCGAAGGTGGTGCTTTTTGGACGTCTCAATGGTACCATCCTTCAGAAGTGGCTCAGATCACCGCCTCCTTCGCGAAGTGCGATTTACTGGAAGCTGGAAAAAAGATCTGCCACCGTGTTGGAATAAGGAGAGAATTAATATATGACGGCGTAGATTAGAGGAACTCCTGACCATCTGCGACTGGCCCATCAAGGAGGACCCAACGAAAAACTACGATCTGCTTCTTAGAGGATGAGAGCCTGCGGTTATGCCTCAATGTCTTGCACAAGGAACTTGGAAGAAATTTCGAAAGCCACCAAATCTGCTTGAGAGGAGAAGAGCACTGAAGCTGGAACCGACTGCATCACATCTCGAGCGACTGGTAGCCAATACCAATTGTAGAACAGCTTTGCAAGAAAATCTTCAAAAGTAAGGCAATCGAAACTTGAAGCAGCACCATCTCGACTATCTGTTCCGCTCACAACAATACTAAATGAAGATGGGTCTCGCACATTATCCTGACAAATGATGGAATCGGTCACGAAGAGATTCACACCAATCTCTTTCGCTCGTCAACACCCGTGTCAACTCCCGTTATTTCCACTGGAGAAATACCACCAAGGATCCTACCTGCTGAAGTACGCGCCGCAATCCAGACCATGAAGGCAGTCACGGCTCCTGGACCGGACCATGTTTCGGTTTACCTCTTATGAGCGGAAAGACGTCGCTTACACGAGATACTTGTTACATCTAACGTCCTACCTTCAAATGAAAGGATCTCCGACCACTGAAGAACCTTCCGATCAATCATTCCTCATAAGAAGTCGATAGGGAGGATTTTCGGAACTACCATCCAATATGCCTACTGAGCGTGAGCTCTTTACAAAGATTATTCTCGCTTGCATATCAAGGACACTGGATGAAGCCGAACGTGTAGAACAAGCTGAATTTCGCCAGGGATTCAGCTG